AACCAGACTGTCATTCAACTACTTCGCGCGTTAATTGTTCCAGATCAGAACACGTGGGACAAGGGGTTACACAAAGTTAAGGGGTTGTACAACAACTCCATTCACTCCGTAACTGGCGTGACACCGAATCAACTACAATACGGTTGGCAGTTGCGCAATCCTCTCTCATATCTGTTCCCCGAACGGTCACCTGGTCTGACGCCCGGCATGCCTGGCTACAATGCCAAGTATGCACGCTTGCTCAAAGCTGCTATCGCCGCAATGAATAAGCATCAGCATGCCATGATCAAACATGCTAACAAGTCGCGCAAAAAAGGGAACTTCAAAGTAGGAAGTTATGTCTGGGTCAAAATGTTTGAATTTTCTGATGAAGAGGGCGTATCATGGAAGCTTCTCCCACTGTACTATGGTCCTTGGCAAGTTCTAAAGGTGGTAGGGGATGATTTTGGTCCTTTGTATGTGATTGACGTGCCTCCTCATTTGCCACACATATCCGTTCTTTCACGAGTCCAAATTGTTTCCACACATCGATGATAAGACTTCCCTTCCGAGATCCTATAATACCTCGTGCTATCAACGGTGGCCACGAAATATACAAAATTGTTTCCCATGAAGGAAGAGGGAGGAACAAACAGTACAAAGTCACTTCCTCTATTGCCCATTGAACGGGTTTTACTAGATCGACCGAAAAGAGCTGCTAAAGAATGCTCCACGTGTTGTTAACGCTTATGAACGACAGATCACCGACGGACAGACTGCTAAGCTGTCTGCAAAACTCACTCCTCATGGTTATACCAAAGCTCTCTTTCTAATCTATGCCTACGTCGCATTTTGTGCCGACTCTGAATGAGTTACTCGCTCGAAGGGACCTCGCTCTTGAGAGGAGGGTAGTGTTATGACCCGCCACAACACAGACTGAGAACACTGCTGATTTTTGGGATTTGCCGCTGGAAAGAGTGCCTTGCTGACATTCCCGCATTCTGCTGTGATTTCTAAGTCTGTGTGTGTGTGCGTGCCTGTCTGAGTGTTTGTCGGCCTTAGTGTGTGTGTGACCCGCAAGGGTACTTGTTGGTTGAAAGGCCTCTCAGGGCCAGTACTTACTTGTGGCCGTGACTTTGCGGGTTGCAGCAGGAAAAACACTCAAGTAGCAGGTAGGCTGGTACCACTCAAGTAGTGGTAGAAGTGTTGGGTACTGGAGGCTGAGCAGAAGAAGACAAAAGTTGGCATTTTTAGAGTCCAGTAGCAGTAGGTTAGAGGTAGACCGGTACCAGTCCGAACGATATCAGGGCCTTCAAGACGTTTCCCTCCGAAAGGGAGGAGGTACCGGTTGCTCGGAGGCGGCTCGGCCTAGGAAGTCACCGCCCAAGAGGCCAGTAGGCCGCAATATCTTCGGGAGGAGCAAGCAGCTCCTCCTCATTTGCGGTATGCAAGGATTGGCGACATGCTGCTGGAGCCAAGGGCTGGACTTGGGAAGCGCTGCCTGGAGGAGAAGAGCAGCTGGGTGCTCAGCCTGGCTATGGCAAGCAGCCCAGCCTGAGGAGGAGGAAGAAGGGGGCGAAGGAGGAGAGTGGCGAGGTACCTACCTGGCTATGGTGGACACCATCTTCATCACCTTGTTGGGCGCTGCATCTGGAATGCCCCAGTTGGGGTAGTGCCTTACCAAGGAAGCTCGAGGCAGAGTCAGGCATGGCGGCTTAGTGAGCAGTGGCATAGCTGCTTTGGGTTGTCCTTTGGACAGGAGTGCAGCGACAAAGCTGCTTTGCGTTGTCCTTTGCACAGGAGGGCAGAGCCCTTAGTAGTCCGCCATAGCCTAAGCATGTGAGAGGAGGAAGAAGGAGGAAGCCATAGCTATGGTGGACCTGTTGTTGTGTCAGCAGTAAGAAGGAACTTCGGATATTGATTCTGGTTCATCCACTCGTTGCTATTATTATTATTGGAAAAAGAATAAGATTGGCGAAGTGGAGGAGGAGGAAGGTGGAGAGAGAAGTGGGATTTGTCACTGGTCTCGCTGGTGTACTTCTTCTTCTTCTTCTTCTTCTTCTTCTCCTTGTTGTTCTTCTTCTTTCTCTCTTCTTTGGTCTCTATCTCTTTGCAAGTGCTTTCATTTCTTCGCAATTGGGTGGCATTGTCTTTCATTGTGAATTTGCACTTTGGGAGTGACCAGGATCGTAACAACGTATTCTTCTTCTTTCTCTTCTTGCCCTCCATCACTCCTCCTCCTGCGCTTCTGGAGCTCTCCTTCTTCTTCTGCTGAGGCATGAGAGAGAGAGAGCGAGAGAATTGAATTGGGACTAGGTGACATTTGGGCTATTCCCGATTCAACTATATTGCGACTTGGACATGATTGTGCGGACAGTGACATTGGGGGGTTGTTGGAAACTTGGTTCATCGGGCTATGGTGGCTGCTCTTGGGCTATGGTGTTGTTGCCAGAACTAACTTTGGATTTCGAATCTCATGTGTGCAATTTGCATGTTCGGCTTTGTGTTTCTTGCGTGCAAGTGTCCATGCATCGTGGTCTCATTCCGCTATGCTTGTGTGATTTAGTTTTCTCATTATTGGTTTAATGTTTGCATCTTGTGTCTCTTGGTTCATCGGGCTATGGTGGCTGCTCTTGGGCTATGGTGTTGTTGCCAGAACTAACTTTGGATTTCGAATCTCATGTGTGCAATTTGCATGTTCGGCTTTGTGTTTCTTGCGTGCAAGTGTCCATGCATCGTGGTCTCATTCCGCTATGCTTGTGTGATTTAGTTTTCTCATTATTGGTTTAATGTTTGCATCTTGTGTCTCTTGATTCTATCTATGGTGGATGCATTCGGTCTTCCAGTTGTTGGATGATCTGCCTGGCTCAGGTTATTACAAGCGTCATATAGAGCGTTTATGGGTGAAACTGTCATAGCTATGCGCATGCGCAGAGTGTTTGGCTCAACAGTTCTTGAAGAATCGAGGCAAAGATCTGCCTATAGCGAGCACCATGCAACGAACCAGACAACGAAGCCCGGTCGATAGAGTTAGCATCTTTCTCAGAACACAACACGCCCTCATCAAGAATACATACAACCTATCTATCCAGTCTAATACAGTCATGATCAAGATGCGATGTATTCCGGGGAAGACGGTAGATCTCCGCTGAAGAAATACGAAGCATGGCTCTGTGTGCCAAACTTCCCAGTGCTTCTTCCCGCCATACACTAGAGAGATCAAATGTATGCGTCAATACATACAGATGAAGGAGTATTACGCATATTTATAGACCGATATTCATCGGCCTCCCGGCAATGGGGGAGAACAGAAGACGAGGCCGTCGGATATGGCGTCATTCATTCATTGTCCATATCAGGAACGCGCGCGCGCAGACACTGTACAAACATCTCTCTCTCTCTCTCTCTCTCTCTCTCTCTCTCTCTCTCTCTCTCTCTCTCTCTCTCTCTCTCTCTCTCTCTCTCTCTCTCCTGATCACGTGCAACCACGGCAATCCGCATCAGTACCTAGCTCTCCGTCATCATCATCGTCGTCTCCTGGTCATGATAAGATCAGCATATCTCATATCTTTATCGTAATCAACCATGATCTCGCAGCGCTCATGTCGCCATCGTCATCGTCTCATGATATCCATCTCCGAGGATCGCTTGCTTAGTTATCCCTCTTGTTCATCCCTTTCACGAACACGGCCATCGGCGTCTATTAATAACTGCCACAGTCCTCGTCGTCATCGTCGCGATCATCATCACCATCATGACGAGAGTGACTATTGAGTCCCGCAGAGAAAGCGCAGACGAGCGACATAAAAAATACATTCCCATTATGTTGTCCTCTCTCTCTCTCTCTATCTGTGTGTGTGTGTGTGTGTGCGCGCGCGCGCGCGCGCGCGCGTGTGCTCGCGCAAGTTCAACCGTATGTTGTGTGTGGCTCTTCGTATGGTTCCCTCGTACAAACACAATTTCTTTCTTCTTTTTTCTTCACACAAACCCACACTGCCATACACTTGCAGACCCCGCATTATTGATCATCAGGGTCGTTGCCTTGGTGTTTGGGTGGGGGCAGTCCCGGGGTATTACGTATTAGAGGAACCCAAGACGAAGGTGTGCCAGTAGTCGAGAACCCTTCACGTCAGCCTAGATCTTACCCGTTTGCGCTGATGACCTCCTACCGACTCTGCCCGTGCACGTGCCACCATCTCTTCCTGTGTATTTTCTAAACTAGATACA